GGCTTAGGGAGGTTTGGGTTTAGGGTTTAGGGTTTGGGGAGTTTAGGGTTTAGGGTCTAGGGTTTTGGGGTTTAGGGTTTAGGGGTTAGGGGTTTAGGGGTTTTGAGGTTTAGGGGTTTAGGGTTTAGGGTTTAGGGGCTTAGGGTTTAGGGGCTTAGGGTTTATGGGCTTGGGGTTCAGGGTTTAGGCCGCATAGAGACCATACTTACCCACAGCCCTCGGACGCTCTTGTTATGAGACGTGTCGAACTCTGCAGACGCGTTGGAGAATGCACATGCGACCAACCCCCTAAGTTCCTCTCTCCCCGAAGGCACAATTCCCTTAAGGCTCTCAACCTGGAGCCCTAAGCCCCAAACCCTAAGCCGTTAAAAACGGGCCTTAATAATTAGCATAGGGTTTTGGGGCCCATTATACTATAATTTTGACAAGGAGCCCCCAACATAGTATAGATATAGGTAATTATTTAGGCTACGACATTACACCGTAAACCCTGAGGCTGAAATGGCCCGAAACAGCCGAGCCTCCTCCGAATGACGACATCTTCAGAAGCTGCCCAGCGCTGAAGCAGTCGATGAGGGACTGCTGCTTGCGCGAAGAGATGATGGTTCTCAGGGTTTAGGAAGTTTAGGACTTTAGGACTTAGGGCTTAGGGGAGCTTGGGGGGTTTGGGATTTAGGGTTTAGGGTTTAGGAGTTTCGGGCTTAGGGTTAAGAGAGCCGGCTTGCCTTCAGAAATATGTCTGCTACATGACCTTAGGAGGAAGCCTGACAGTGCAACGTTCCGTTACTTTCTAAGTTGAAGGGGGCTGGGGTCTCTGTTTATGCGAGGGTATGACATGCCTCTACACGGGTTTTAGGGTGAAAGTTTGGGGGAACTGGTCACTCGCATGTAGATTGGAATTGGGGGAGGTGCGTCAAGCTATAGTTCTGTGAATTACCCCCAGAAGCCTTAAGCCTAAACTCTAAACCCTATCAACCCTTATCGAATAAGGCTTCAGGGCAATAGCTTTCCGAGTCCAGGTCTTGCCTGCGGGATTAGGGCTTGGTGGCTACAGGGGTGAGGGATACGATTCAAACTCTCGTGGACGGATCGGAGCTTCCCTAAACCCTAGCCCCCAAACCCTAAACCCCCTTTGCAGGGTGGTCCCTAAAACCCAAGACCCTAAACCCTAAACATACTATAATATACTGTACTATAACATAATATAATATACTAACTATAATAAACCCTTAACCCTAAACCTTACAACCCTAAACCCCAAACCCTGAACCCTAAATCCCTAAACCCTAAACCCTAAACCCTGAACCCTAAATCCCTAAACCCTAAACCCTCTTTGAAGGGTGAGGAGCCTTGACGGGCTCTTCAGTCTTTCGGGTTTAGGGTTTAGGGTTTAGGGTTTGGTCTCTTCTAGGTTCGTCTGAAACTCTTCTTTGCTTCCTTTCCGCATTCAGGGCGCATGTGCCAAGCCTGAGCTTCAAAAGGGTTCAGGGTTTAGGGTTTAAGGTTTAGGGTTAAGGGTTTTGGGTTTAAGGTTTATAGGGTTTAGAGTTTCAATGCCCTGTTGTACTACCCTTCGGTCCGTGAAACCCGAAACCCTAAACCCTGATCGAGGTACCGAGCTTGGCGCGGTTGTTTGCGATCGTGGCGACTTCGTACCACAGTTACTGAATCTTTTGCGCGCCTCCTGTGAAGAAGATGGTGCACTCTCCCAGGAGGGTTTGGAGGACCCTGCGCCCGAAAGTTTTTAGACTTTGCGAGTTTCGGTTGCTGTCGGCGTTGCCAGTGTGCAACCCCCCCCCCCCCCCCCCC